AAAAAATATATAATTATTTAATTTTTTCTATTCATAAATAACAATTGAATAAACAATATGTACAACTTATTAACACATCCGTATGATTTCTCGTACATGCTCCATCACTGGACAAAGATAAAAAATAAAGAGCAAAAGTACGCGTACACCAGGCGCGCGCGAAAGAGAGGACGCATAATACAGGTAGTGGGAGGAGAGACACGCGCGCGCTACCATTATTGTTGTTACGGCTGGCGAGAACAATCGGCCCGTTCTTTCTACTCCTCCCCTTCCACAGAGTCCACCTGAATAGGGTGCACCGGCATGCACACAATGTATCTATTCAGGTGCGACCAGGGGTGCTCAGACCGCCGCGATCAACCACTCGATTTTTTTTTCTATTTACGTCCCTACCGATTTTTTTTTATAGCTATTTTAGTGATCTGATGGGCGAACGGGTTACTCGAAACAATGAGGAGGGGAGAAGAGGATCGAGTGATGTGTGCCGTGGTCGAGGAGCTCCGTTGTCACTTGATCGATCATTCACGAGCGTGCTTGCAATCTAGGCTGTTAACTGCATAATAGCCGTGTAGATTCGAGCTCAAAATTATACACTTCAAGCGATGGAAGATCGGAGGGAGAATAATGTTAATTTTTAACAATACATTTTGAAGATCGGTATGACATGAGTCGGAAAAAAGATTTTTTCACTCAAGTCTGACAATAAATATTCGATGAAAAGATAGTTACGGACAAACCAGAGGCTCCCGAATCGGTTAATTGAGATTCACGCAAAAGTCCTAAAAAAGATACCGCACGAGCAATAATCACGCGTTGCGGAAGAGTCACGATCGCGTTGTCAATCGTGATACCCCGACTTCAAAGATCCAAAAATCGTTCCCAATCAGTTGAATTCCCCGCGATCATCGGTACTGATCAACTCCTTCCCCCCCTTTGTTTTTCGCATTGTTCTGCACGTGAGCTCGCGCTCTCGTATAATACGAGCGCGCCCGCACTCTCTCGGTGGCACCGCCATCCGAGACTGCGATGAGCTTTTGAGGGCAAGTGCAGCTATATACACGGGAGAGGATAAGGGGAGACGTGAGGTGTACCGTTGTTGCTGTACTATATGGGCACTTTGTTCTATGTGTGCTGGGAGATGGCAAAAATATCGTGTGTGGTCCGTGGAGGGATGTTTGATGGGGGAATCGGCTAGATCGGTATGGCTGGGGGACTGTTAAACATCGGGACGAGCTTTTGCCTATAGTAAAAAAAATGTATTATTACAGTATATACCTAAATTTTGACGATTTATGGATTACGGATTTTGCATGTTAAACGTTTCTTCTTCAAAGGGATGATTTTAATAATGAAAAAGAGACAAAATGAAAATATTGACGCCTTTGTATCACAATTTTCAAGGACAGACAAAGGTATTGTCCCAGATGTTGAGATAATTACATCGTCTTAATTTCGTCGCAAAGCAAGCTTTGTGATGGTCGCATAACCAAAATGATTTATTTCAGAGTAAAATAAAATTATGAAGATTTACCAGATAAATGGTACGAATCAAAATATAATTTTTTTAAACTGAAATAATCAAAATGAGACTTACCTTTTGTACATCGAGGAGGTGCCAAAGTTAGGTATTGGTATTATTATGTTTATACATTACGTTGTAATTTAAAAACATTTAATACTGTGAGAGAGAGAAAAGAAAATACCAGGGCAGTGCACGTGAAAACAAAGGAAAAGAAATAGATAAAATTGGTAACTCAAGAGATTAAGTTGGAGAAGAAGAGGAATAAAGTAAAAGCGGAGGACGAGCGAAAACGGGAGGAGGAGGAGGGTGATTTTCGCGAAAAAGAGGTCTACAGCGGGGGGGGGGGGGGCGCGTGCACGGAAGAAAGAAAACAAGGAAAGGACAATATCGACTGACAATGGCTGGAGGGTCGTACAGTGGCTGATGCGCACCAAAGTGCGGGTGCACACCACACGCGGAGGGAGGGGGGGGAGGAGAAAGCAAAAAGCACGCAAGAGACAGAGAAAGAGGGCACAGAGAGAGAGGAGCGCGCGGCGGAGGTTGAATAGGAAGCGGCACAATGGACCTCGGCGCTGGTGCACCCCACCACCGCCCTGCTCAGCCGCCGCGGAGGTGGAGGCGTGTGTTATCAAATGGGTTCCTCATTCACGTACTCTATTCTACTTCGCCCCTGCTACTACCCCCGGCCCCTCTTTCTCTACCTGTGTGTCTGTTGTACTTATTCATACCAGCGAAGCTATTGTGCGTCCTCGTCTATGTATATGATGCGCGCGTGTGTTGTGTATTATGCGTGTTGTGCCGAAGCCCAGAGCGCGAGAGTTTGGCTCAGTAGAGAGGACGCGATGGAACGTGTCACAATGCGCGAGGCATCCTTCTCTCTCCCTCTCTCTCTCGGCGTCTATTTTGTCTCTTCTTCCATGGATGATATAATATATGCATATACATGGCATGTAAGTACTTTTCGTTCTACTCTTCGAGTTTCTCTGGAGGTGGGTGTATGGTGTTCTATGCACGTCACTTGCTACTGTCATCCAGGATGGACAATCCGTCACATCGGTGTGTAGGCGCATCTTTTTTTTTTTCTTTTTTTTTTTTTTTTTACATTTTCAGTAGCCAAGAGTAAGTAAGTATACAGAATAAAAAGATTCATCGAATAGACCTCGAAAATAAATTCCAATCCCAACATTATCATATATATATAAGATGCCTGGTTACTGCAAAATGCCCGTATAGTAGCGCGAGCTGTAGTTATAAAAAATAAGGGAGGGGGCCATAAGATTATAGGGAGAAGCTATTGAAAAGAAAAAAAAGGTAATCGGTGTACAGAGACCCCATGTATATTGCAACTAAAAGAGAGGGAGCCAATCGACTTTTAAAATGTAATGGCACCTGAAAGAAGTACGTTACGCGTGAGCTACATATACGAGTCAGTATTAAACTCGTCTGTCTCTCTTTCCCTTTATATTACTCATGTAGGCACACAAGAACGAAAATGGTCCCTCGACGATCATATGCCTACACGTACACACATCATGGATACATTGTAAATAAAGGGCAAAATAGTGATTAGTGTGTTGAATAATTGCGCAGAGTACGAATACCGAAATACCTGTGAACCCATGTAGTCGTAAGGTCTCTCATCTTTTCCGTGTGGACGTAAAAAAACGCTGCCAAACGAGGGGTCGTGTATACATGAAATGTAAGTCGACTAGGATGGTCGTATAAGTTGCATGGACGAGCGAAAACTGTATACATAAATATATAGGTAACATCGAGCCATAATGTGATGAAAGAAACTGCACGTGTATACATAAAACTCGCGTAAGCGCGCTCAATACGTCATTCAGCCGCGAAGAATACGAGCTCGTTCCCGGCCATTTTGCCCTCCAGAATAGGAGGCTTCAAAAGGAATTAAGGATTCAAAGGCGCGCTCACGCTTATAGGTACACACACTGCTCTTGCGCAAGCACACAAATGCAGTATGTACCTGCACAGCATCGAGTATACGAGGCTTCTGTTGTTTCGAGCCATCGTGGCCTTTTTTCTCTTTACGCTCCGATCGTAAGTATCATTCGTTCCAACTCCAATTGGGTATGTAGGGTTGAATAATTATTTTTCCAATGCAGCAGCCCCTCGGGTGTTTCCAAAAAAATCATAGCCCTGCTTTATTTTTTTTCCTTTTTTCGGGGCCATAAAACATCGCCAAACCCACCGATCCGTCTGCAGCATATGCAACGCCCTCATGCCTGTTCTATCATCCCTTATGATTCGGGATGAATTTTTGGCAATTCGGGAGCACCGATTTCCACTGTACGTCCGTAAGTACTGGCTCTCCCCTAACACCCTCCGTTAGCCACGCAAATCCACGCGCCGTGACAAATGGGTGCCGTATTCGCCAGTGTGTTCTCTCTTCTTGAGCGTGTCAAAAGAATAAAAAAAAAAAAAAGAAGTATATTGGTTAGCATGAAAATGCACGGGTATAGAGAGAGAAAATAGATGAAAAAAGCGCGGGGAAAGCTTACAGGGAATTGTTCTGCCATTGTCATTCATGAGTACAATATCGTTGGTCATGTGCGCGTACGCGTATAAAAAAGAGAGAGAGAGAGAGAAAGGAGCGATTGCTCTTTTATACGTGTTTCGTTCGATACGTGGGGCTACGGGCGCACCATACGTTTAATGAGCTTAAGAGCGATTACTCACCCCAAAGTGTGCAGTCCATCCATTTTATACGTGTGTGTGTGCACATTTGTGCGATGCCAATAGATTGTTTGCTCGGATGAAGAACTGCTCTCGTCTCGCACCTGCGACAGGAATATGTATCATTAGTTCGATGAAAGAAGTTTATTGTTGGGTGGATTTGTACGGAGTGTTTGTTAGAATGGTTAATTGGACGGATATTTTTGTGATGCGTTGGCCGCATACGGACAGGAAATTGATAAATTTTTGATTTATCATCGTTTTCCCTCTACTGTCATTCATCAATAAATTCGA